ACTTTTATATAAAAAATACACTTTATACTTTAACAGAAGTTTTAAAAAATTACTATTTTACTGTTGAACTGTAGGCCTACAAGGGTATCAATTAAAGACGCCTCATTATAGGGCGGTGGAGCACTACAGCTTGTTTCTATAGCCAAAAGTAAACATGCCGCCATAAAAAAAACACTTCTGGTAACATTTGGTGAATAGAACATTATCCTTACAACCAAAATAACAACAACCTAAATCTAAATAAGTCATCTCGGGGGTGGGGGGGGTAGGGGGGTAGGAATACAGCTGATGTCTTGAGCTCTCGACTGGAACATCGAAGGTCTTGAAAAAAATGCGTATGTACGTTATTTCATAATAAATTATGATTTTAAGATAATTTAGAATTTCACTGTGATTCCTACATCATATCATACACAAATATGTTACTAATTTATAATTTGAAAGAAAGAAAATGGTATTCAACCTTTTGCTTCGCCAGGCTGTTCCAATATGATCTTTCGCCAGCCCCTGGCGAACGTTCGCCAAGCATGATTTTAAAAGTACGAAATTCCGGATCGCCCGGCGAAACCTTTCGCCAGCCCTGGCGAAAGGTTTTAAAAGTACGGGCCAAAGTGGCATGTTTTTTACAATCCAAACATTGTGGTTATGGGACATACTGGCTGACTATACATGAAACATAGAACATTTGAATATCAAGGGTAAAATCAGTTACATACATAGTGATTCAGAATAAGCATTTTATAAGAAACATTTTGAGTATAAACATGACATATCTATACATGAAGACAACAGAATAAAAGCATGGAAACAGTAATAAGGGTCAGATTAGCGTGTTCTACGGTCACTTCGTCAATGTCGGGCACAGGGCACTCTGGAATCTCGTGAAATAAACAACACGGCTTCGTGTCTGCGAGGGCGAGCAGCGAGGGAGAAGGTCAGGGAGAGAGAGAGAGAGAGCGAGAGAGAGAGCGAGGAGAGAGAGAGAGAGAGAGAGAGAGAGAGAGAGAGAAGAGAGAGAGAGAGAGAGAGAGAGAGAGAGAAGAGAGAGGAGAGAGAGAGAGAGAGAGAGAGAGAGAGAGAGAGAGAGAGAGAGAGAGAGAGAGAGAGAGAGAGAGAGAGAGAGAGAGAGAGAGAGAGAGAGAGAGCGAGAGAGAGAGAAGAGAGAGAGAGAGAGAGAGAGAGAGAGAGAGAGAGAAAGACAGAGATGATAATGATAATAATAAGTTCAAAATGGAAGAGAGAGAGAGAGAGCGACATAGAGAGAGAGAGAGAGAGAGCGACATAGAGAGAGAGAGAGAGAGAGAAATGATAATGATAATAATAAGCTAGAAAATGTAAGAGAGACAGAGAGAGAGATAGAGATGCTAGACAAAAGGAGAGAAGGGAGAAGGAGGAGGGGATAAAAAGAAGGGGAGGGGAGAGATTGAAGAGGAGGGGATAAAGTGAAGAGGAGGGGTCAGGGAGAAGAGGCGGAAAGACACGAAAAGAGGATGACAGGGAGAAGGAGAAGGGGAGAGAGAAGAAGAATGAAGGGAGGGAAGGGATAGCAAACAAGTTAGGAAGGGGTTTGGTAAGGAGATGTACCGAGGAAAATGGTAAGAAAGGGATAGGGAAAAAAGTAAAAGGAAGGAAGAGAGAAAAGGGAGAAAGAGAGATAGACAGAGAGAGAGAAGCAAACAGACAGACACAGAGTGAGAGAAGAGAGGAAGATATATATATATATATATATATATATATATATATATATATATATATATATATATTATACACACACACACACACACACACACACACACACACACACACACACACACACACACACACACATCACACACACACACACACACACACACACACACACACACACACACACACACATATATATATATATATATATATATATATATAATATATATATATATATACTGAAGAGAGAGAGAGAGAGTTTCCGAACGAATAACGAATAAAATAGAATAGAAGGGAGGGGAGAGTTGGAGGGAAAAACGGATAAGGAGAGGGAGAAGGGGAAAGAGAGAGTGTCAAGGATAAAAGAAGGAGAGAGAGAGTCGGAGAAAGAGAAAGAGGAAGAAGAGACGGATAAAATATAATAATAATAATAATAATAATAATAATAATAATAATAATAATAATAATAATAATAATATAATAATAAATAAATAAATAAATAAATGAATAAAATTGCAAGACTTAGACAGAGACAGAAAGGGACAGAAAGGGAGAGGGAGAGGAAAGGCAAGTGACGGGGGAGGGGAGGGGGGAGGGAGAAGCCGAACAGTCGACTCTCTGGCTCTTCAGCGAGTCAGTCTTCGCCAGGCAGCGGTGCCGGGCGTACGCGTGTGTGAGTAGGCTCTGTGTCTTTCGGTGCCAGGCACTCTCCGAGCTTGTGTGTGAAAACGTGTGAACTGGTTGGTACGATTTTGTGAGTTTTTAATGATCATTGAACAATTGGTGATTCGAGGATGATACGTCGGTAAATAGAGAACGAAAACGGGAAGAGGAGGAAGCGAAAATAAGTGTCTGAGAAAGAAAAATATTGCTTTTATCAGTGCCATCATTTTTGTTATTGTTACTAATGTCATCATTACTGTCTGTGTTATTATCATTACTATTATTATTATTATTATTATTATTATTATTATTATTATTATTATTATTATTATTACTAGTATTATTATTACTATTATTATTATTATTATTGTTATTATCATCATTATTATTAATGTCATTATTATCACTGTTATCAGTTTTATTATTGTTATTGTTATTATCATCATTATTATTGATGTCATTATTATCACTGTTATTAGTTTTATTATTATTATTGTTACTATCATTATTATCAATATTATTATTATAGCTAATATTACAATTATTATCATTATTGATGTTGTTATTATCATCACTATGATCATTATTTGTAATTTTTGTTGTTATTCTCGTTGTTGTTGTTGTCGATATTGTTGCTGTTTTTAATATTACTATAACATCAATGATAATGATATTGATAACAATGACAATGATTAGGATGACGATGATGATGAGGAGGAAAAGGATGAAGATGACAACAACAACAAAACAACAAGAGTAATAATAATGATAATAATAATAATAATGGTAATAATAATGAAAATGATATTGATGATAATGATGATGACAGAAATAACAATAACAATAACATAATGATAATGATGATAAATCATTATTATTATTAATGTTATCTTTAATGATTTCATCATTTTCATTCTCCTTCTTATCATTTTTTTATTATCTATTCTTCGATTTATCCTACGTTTCTTTCTTCTATTCTATAAGCTTTCAATCTTCAATTAAGTAATTTCCAGTGTTCATTCATGTTTTTTATTTTTTTTATCTCTCATGACAGAACAATCTACACTACAACAAGAACAGTATCATTACCACTGGATAATTCGTGAGAGAAAGGAATAGCAATAATAAATCTTTATATATTGATATAAAACAATGCGGTGAATACAAAGAAAGACGTAAAAAGAAATTACAGATTTGTGGGAAAAAAAAAGAAAGAATTTTCCGTGTCCCTTCAGCCAGTGAACAGAAGACAACAGCCGGAAAAAATGAAAAATCCGGTCAGATACGGATAACTGAATACGAGGTTCCGATGCAACGAACGAGTGACCGTGACATGACCAATAATAAATGAACAGTGGCCAAAGGGAAAAGAAATAGATAATAGATATATATGTATACATTGTTGGTGGTGGAATGGACCGCTGGATATTCCTCAAGGTAAGTTTCGTATATGTATACTTTAGCTAACGCAGATATGATGCACCCAAGACATAGGGACGTATATATACAGATAGAAACGCTTATAAACACATGTAAACCAATATTCACGTATAAATAAGTATAAATAAATATATACAATATACACAAAAATGAATACAAACATAGAGTATCTCCATCTCTCTCTTCTCTTTTTTCCCTCTTCCCCTCCCACCCCCCTTTCTCTCTCTCTCTCCTCCCTCCCACTTTCTCTCACCTTCACACACTTTCTCTCTCTCTCTCTCTCTCTCTCTCTCTCTTCTCTCTCTCTCTCTCTCTCTCTCTCTCTCTCTCTCTCTCTCTCTCTCTCTCTCTCCCCCAATCTCTCCTTCACACACTCTCCCTCCATCTCTCTCTTTCTCTCCCCCCCCCCCCTCTATCTATCTTACACACTCTCTCCCCTCCCTCCCCTCCCCCTCCCCTCTCTCTCTCTATCAGACACACACACACACACGCACACACTCCCTAAGCTGCCCAGAGAGCCCGCGCACGAGAATCTCCACCCGATACCGACTTATCCTTCGACGCTGAGCCTAATTGAAAAGGAAAACGAGGTGGTTTTGTTTCGTGTTAATTAGTCTGGTTCTTTTTATATATATACGGTTACTTATTTGTTTTTGTTTTTTTTTTTCTTTATTTGTATGGAGAGGTTGGTTCGTGAGCGTAATATACTTAGCTGATATATTGACTGCGATGTATTTGTGTACACAGACGCATACGCATGAGCACACGCACACGCACACGCACACGTACACGTACACGTACACGCACGCGCATGTACAAGGACACACACCCGCACACGTACACACATAAACACACATAGACATATACTGTACATGTGCTTTTTTGTACGTTATTGTTCACATCCACTCTATTGTCAAGGAAAGTGAAACATAATTATAAGGGCAAATGTAAATTTCAAATTTATTTCTTCGTTTTGGCTTTACTAAGTACACAGCTGCTACGGAAGAGAGATGGGGTCTCACTATAGTTAATCACGATGGAAACTAATTTAATTAATAACAATAAGAATTTTTTCCAAATCGTTATAGATAATGTCTGTATCTGTTACAGCTCTTCAAAATGAATGAATAAATAATAAATAATAATGAAAATAAAAGAGAGAGAGAGAGAGAGAGAGAGAGAGAGAGAGAGAGAGAGAGAGAGAGAGAGAGAGAGAGAGAGAGAGAGAGAGAGAGAAAAGGATTACAGATAAATAGGTTTTATACACAGTCATATTCCGAGTCCACTAAATAAATCCTTTTGACGGGTACCCTGGACAATTGTTTGGCTACATGACACAGAATCATAAGACAGAGGTCAGTCCACAAAATACACAAAGACATCAAAACTATACTGTAAACATTGAAGTAAATTAACTTGGACTTTCATGGAACCCAAGTATTTTTTTTTCTTATTTCTTTTATAAGCTCACGCATTTTATTTACTCAAGCTTTTTTTTATTATGTCAAAGGTCACGACCTTGATTTAAGATTCAATTTGAAGAATGATTCCAGAGAATAGACTAAGAACACTTTATAAACTGCCTGCTTTGCGCTGCCCTAAGCCTTACTGAAGTGAGGTATTGTCTATTTCTTGCATAAATGAATGGGTAGCGCCAACACCTTCAAAATTCATTACGGAGAGTTTGGCAACTGCGAGTGCACACCTTTGAGGGCCGGATGAGTGAATCTCTCCAGTACTTAGCGTTCCGAGGTCGTTGAATAGTGAATTCGTGTTTGTTATTGTTGTTATTGTCTTTCGTTTGGTTTCCGATTCTGTTTTTTCGTTATGGTTAACTATTTCACTTACTAGTTGTTACTGTCTTTCGGTTGATTTCCAGCTGATTTTTTTTTGTTATAGTTATCTGTTTTATTTATTATTGTTGTTACTGTCTTTCGTTTTATTTCCAGCTGATTTTTTTTGTTATAGTTATATATTTTATTTATTATTGTTGCTACTGTCTTTCGTTTGATTTCCAATTGTATTTTCCTGCGTGTGGTGTGTGTGTTTGTTATAGTTTACCATTTCATTCAATTGTAACTGTCTTTCGTGTGATTTCCAATTGTATTTTTTGTGTTTTAGTCAACCATTTCATTCATTATTGTTGTTACTGTCTTTCGTTTGACTTTCAGTTATATATATATATATATATATATATATATATATTTATATATATATATATATATATATATATATATATATATATATATTATATATATATAATGTTTTGGTTATAGTTTTTTCCCATCGTCACAGGCTATTGTAAAAAGAATTCCCTTAGTTTTATCATTGTTATATTTCAAGCTACTTTTGACCCGCCACCCCTGCAAGTAAATCACCGCAACCACAGACCTTAATAGAAAGCAACGCCACCACAAAATAAACTAGTGAAAAAAAAACAAAAAACATTTTCCTCAGTTACCGATGATTTTCCTTTCCACGTCATTTATCACACATTTTCATCTCTCATATATCACTCGCGTAGCTTACCTTGTTTGGAGAGAGTCATTTATCTGCATCACGATTAGCAGTCTCTTCTCGTTTATCAATTATGCTCTGTTCATATTCATAAGCCAAGCGAGGAAACAGTGTGTGCTTGGGCTGGGAAAGTTTGGGAAAGGTAACAATGTATATATATATATAATATATATTATATATATATATTATGTGTGTGTGTGTGTGTGTGTGGTGTGTGTGTGTGTGTGTGTGTGTGTGTGTGTGTGTGTTTGTGCTTCCGTGTGTGTGTACGTGTGTGTGTGTGTGTGTTTGTGTGTGTTTTACTTTTGTTATGTGTGTGTGTGTGTGTGTGTTTGTTTCCGTGTGTGCTTACGAATACGTGTGTGTGTGTGTAAATGTGTTTATGTGTGTGTTTACTTCTGTATATGTGCGTGGTGTGTGTGTGTGTGGGGGGGGGCGTATTTGTTTCTTTGTGTGATTGCGTGTGTGTATTTGTGTACATGTTCCGTGTGTGTGTTTACTTCTGTATATGTGCGTGGTGTATATGTGTACGTCTGTGTGTGTGTCCGTGTGCGCGCCCTTGTGTGTGTGTACGTGTATGTGTGTGTATGTGTGTGTATGTGTGCGTGTCTGAACAGTAAGTGCATACTTTAAATATCGCCTCCAGGTACAGGTTGTTTTTAAAGGTACCAAACCAACCTTCAAGTCCTTTTTTTCTTTTATTTATTTATTTCCGTCAAGTCTTTTGTTTCCTTTATTTATTTATTTCCGTCACTGAATTCCATCTCTTTCTGACCGTGTGTCTTATCCATCCACCCAACGCTATGCAAAAGAACAGGCGGATACTCACACAAACAAACAGACAAAGTAAATAGAGAGGCACAGAGAAATGAATAAATCGATATAGAAAGACAGAGGGAAAGGAAGAGAGAGAGAGGAAGAGACCGTCTTTACATCTTTATGCATATAAATGACTTCTGCTGTCAAGCTGATGTATGTACTTGCGTTGGGTTTGCCTGTGGAGGTGGGATATAGGCGGATGGTGGATGGCGAGCGGGGGAGGAGGAGGAGGAGGAGAGGGGGGGGAGGAGGAGGAAGGAGAGGGGAGGAGGGAGGAGGAGGAGGAGGAGGGAGGAGGAGGAGGAGGAGGAGGAGGAGGAGGAGGAGGAGGAGGAGGAGGAGGAGGAGGGGAGGAGGAGGAGGAGGAGGAGAGGGAGGAGGAGAGGAGAGGGAGGAGGGGAGGGAGGAGGAGGGGGAGGAGGAGGAGGAGGAACAGGAGGAGGTAGGAAGAGGAGAAAGAAGTAGTAAGGAGGAGGAGGAGAGGAGGAGGAGGAGGAAGAAGTAGTAAGGGGGCGAGGAGGAGGGAGGAACAGGAGGAGGAGGAGGTAGGAAGAGAGAAAGAAGTAGGAGGGGGGGAGAGGAGGAGGAAGAAGTAGTAAGGGGACAAGGAGGAGGAAGAGGACCAGTAGGAGGAAGAGGTAGGAAGAGGGAGGAAAGAAGTGGTAAGGGAGAGGAGGAGGAGGAGGAAGGTAAGGGAGGAGAAGGAAGAGGAACAGGAGGAGGTAGGAGGTAGAAGAGGGAGGAAGATGTAGTAGGGAGGAGGTGGAGGAGGAGGAGGAAGAAGTAGTAAGGGGCGAGGAGGAGGAAGAGGAACAGGAGTAGGTAGGAGGTAGAAGAGGAGGAAGAAGTGGTAAGGAGGTGAGGAGAGGAAGAAGTAGTAAGGGGGGCGAGGAGGAGGAGAAAGATATAGTAATGGGGCGAGGAGGAGGAGAAGGAGGTAGGAAGAGGAGAAAGAGGTAGTACAGGGGCGAGGAGGAGGAAGAGGAGAAAGAAGTGGTAAGGAGGCGACGGGGAGGAGGAGGAGAAAGAGGACAAAGAAATAGTAAGGGGAGGAGGATGAGGAGGAACAGAAGGAGGAGGTAGGGAGAGGAGAAAAAAAGTAGTAAGGGCCACGCGGAGGAGGAAGAGGAGAAAGAAGTGATAAGGGGGCGAAGAGGAGAGGGAAAAAAGAAGAGGAGGAGGAGGAAGAGGAGGGGAGGAGGGAGGATGAGAAGGTAGAGGAGGTTTAGGAGGAGGAAGAGGAGGTGGAGGAGGAAGAGGAAGAGGGAGTAAGAGAGAGAGAGAGAGAGGTGAAAGGGGAATCCAAAGCAGATAAAGGAAAATGACAGATGACGGAAGGTGGGAAGGGTGACAAAGACAAAAAGGCAAAAGGTCGTTGGGTGAATGGTTCTTTCTATCATGCTTTCTCCTTCCACCATTTATCACTTGTTTTCCCTTCCTTTCCAAATTGATTGAAGCGCGGTTTCACAGGAGGATAGGCACTAGCTGTTTTTGTATGTATGTTTAATGGTAAAAGGACATTTTGTTTCCACACACAAAGACATCCACACACACACACACTCACTCACTCACACACACACACACAACACACACACACACACACACACTCACTCACTCACTCACTCACTCACTCACACACTCACACACACACACACACACAC